GCTGCCCGGCACCAGCCCTGCAGCTGCTCCTCGAAAGCCTGTGAGAAGGGAGATGAGCTGACCTCTCTGGCTTTCCCTGAGCCTCCAGCCCAGGACTGAGGACCTGGCTCCCCGCTCCAAACCCAGGCGGAGGAGGCACCTTCAGGTCCACGTCTGGTGCCACACGGAAGTCAAAGCTGGCGCTCATAGTTGCAGGTACCACGTTATAGGCCACGCCACCCTCTAGCTTGGTCAGGTTCACGGAGGTCACAGCCCCGGCCTTCAGGTGGGGGTCTAACTGCAGCCTGCGGTGGGAGGCGGGGCAGGGGCGGCAGGGGGAACAGCAGATGAAGAGCCTCCCTTCTCTGGCAGGGCCACCGCCCAGAACCCCATCCTCTTTCCCAGCCTGCCTCACCTCTGCCTCTCCTTCTCCCGGAAAGCCAGGACTGAGCTCACCACCTTGTGCTAGGAGAGTGTGAGGTCAGATGTGAGTGTGGCCCCAGGAGAGAGCCTCGGGGATTCCCAAACTCCCTCCCCGTGTGCCACACACCAGCTTCTCTGCTGCCGTGTCCTCAATGAAGCGTGAGCTGTGGCCTGGCTTCCCGGTGCTTGAGATCCGCACCCCTGGGAGATGAGGGAGAAGGGGGTGTCTTCAGCATGGGAGGGGCTGGAAAAGTGACCAGCCTGGGGGTGGGCCCCAGCCTTCCCCTCATCCCCAGCTCATCTGGCAGGGTTGTTCTCCTTAGAACGCAAGGTGTAGAGCTGGTTTCTGTCCATGGGGGGCTTCCCTCAGAAGCTCAGGAAGAAGTCCAGGTAGAGAGCGGCTCTGGGTACAAGGCCTACTCAGGCCCTGACATGCTGCATGACTCTTGGGAGGCCCTGGCCCTTCTGGCCTGGCATCCCAGTGCACAATGACACCCTCCCTCCAAGCCCATACTCACACCAGGGGCTCCGCTCACTGTAAAAGACAGTGAAGGCATCAGTGGGGTTGGCCAGGCCTGGGGAGGGAGAGGGGATTCAGAGCGTGGAGTGGCCCAGCCCCTAACAGCCTCTCTGTCCCCTACCAGCCGCTCAGGACCTGCCAGCCTGTTCACCTTCATCCAGGGCAAAGCCAGCCCTCAGGGCCTGGAACTCGGGCCGCCGTACAAACAGCTCCATGCCTTGGTGACCCCCAACTTCCTCATCTGTCAATGCAGCAGGGACACGAGATGAAGGATCTGTCCCTATCACCAAAGCCTCCTGCTTCTGAAAAGTGGCTCTCCCCAAGCCACTCCTACCTGGCACAAAGGTCATGTGGATGGTCCTGGGGAAATGGTGGCCCTCAGCCTTCAGCCTCCTCACAGCCTCCAGGTACCTAAGGGGCAGTGACAGGGTAAGCCAAGTGCTGGGGGAGCCACCAGATATTTGGGCGGGCAGGCTGGAGCCCCGGGCCCCTGCAGCCTGCTCTGCCACAGCCTGGCAGGGGACTCTGTCCTTCAGTCTCCCCATCCATGTCAAGGTGATAATTCCTGTTCAAGATAAGGGGTCAAGGTGTTCCTTGGCCTTGAGGTTCTCCAATCACACCCACACCAGGCCCTGGGTCAATTCAGCGGTCCAGAAGGGGCATTGTGGGGGACAGGAAATGGAGGACACTCACTGGATGCTGACACACTTCATGTCCTGGGCACCCCTGGCGTAGATGTAGCCCTCAGCATCCTTGAAGGCCTCAAAGGGGTCATGACTCCAGTGTTCCTGGGGCAGAGATGAGAAGAGGCCCCAAATTTAGTCATTAATCTACTCTGTTCAACTGTGTCCCTGATCTAGAAGCCTACCCTAGGGTGGGGTGACAAGTGGGGTGGTGAAGCGGACAGAAGCCGGCTGAAGAGTGCAGCAGACTGCAGTCCCTCATCTCTGCTCCCACTGCTACCCCAGGCACAGAACGGACCCCTGGGCAAAGGCTGCCTGAACATAGTCGTGTCCTATGAGATCGGGAGTCAGTTTCAAGACCAGCCCCTGAGGCTCTCTAGGGTCCAATGGGGGGTCTGAGTCATCTGTGTACCCCAAGGCCTGCACTGCTTCCCATGCCCCACACACCTTGAAAACAGGCACCACGTCCGTGTGAGAGTTGAGTAAGACAGAGGAGAGTCTGGGGTTGGTACCCGGCCACGTCAGAATGGTCACCACACAGCCAGGTGCCACCTGGAGAGGACCAGGAGGTGAGCGGGTGCCCCGGGGCCACCTCCCCTCCCCATGACGGGCCCTAGGCTCACCTCTACTTTCTGACAGCCTAGGCCCAGCTGGCAGGCTCTCTCCTCAAGGAAGGCCACGGCAGCCCCTGGGGACACAGAGAGTCTTGGGGCTGCTTCTGCCTACCCACACCTCCCACCAGCCCAGGCAAAGCTGGGGGTACATCCAGAGAGGGGAGCCGATCCTGAAACAGGCTGCTGCCTCCGCACTGCAGTTCCACACCCCTCGGGGACACCTGCATTTCTGTCTCCAAGGGAGAAGATATCTTTGGCCAGTCAGTGACCCTTTGTGGAATGTCAGGTGGGAAGTCCATAGTTAGAAACAGGAGTGACTGCTCTCTTCCTTAGGGACGGGAAAACTGGTGCACAGGCATGAGATTCACCCCATGTGCCCCAGCTGGTAAATACGCGGCGGGGGTTTGGACCCACGTCCACAATTCCCAGCCACCAAACTTGATTTCCTAAGGGCTGTGGTCTTTGTCCTGCCCCAGTAGGCTTCTGGAGCTTCTTCCCTTGGAGCTGTCTGGTCTCCCCTCCCCGTCCTCAAACCCGGAGCAGTGAGGCGAAGTTGTTCCCGAACCAGCCACCAGTCTGCTGACATGGGGAACGGCGAGGGGCGTGGAGGTGTCAGTTGAGGCAACAGAGTGGGACTCAGCTGGGTGACAGTGTTTGGAGTCTGGTGTAAGGCAGTCCCCGCCCCGGAACCCCACCGCAGGCCCTGGAACCGCCGCGTTCTCACCGTAGTCCGGCTGGGGCTGGACCGTGCGGATGCGCAGGTACTGGCGGAAGAGCGTCACGGACGGGTGCTCGCCCTCGCGACCCTCGCTGGCCATGGCGCTGCGCGCGGTGAGCTAGGAGCAAAGCGAGTGGCTACCTACCCCTCCCAGCCCATGCGACCCCGTGGACTCCACCTACTCACGTCCCTTCCCCAGGGCGTTTCCCCGCACGTCCCACAGGGAGAAGACCCCCTGTTTTCGGAGCCCCCATTCTGTTTCAGAAGCTGTGCTGGTCGCTTTCAACACATTTCCGTATTGAATCCGTCAAAGAGCCCCGGGAAGTTCGTGCCTCTGTATGCGTACTTTACAGACAGAGGAGAAGGCTGAGGCTGAGAGGTTCAGAGACAGCAAGACAGTAGCTGAGCCCGGTCTGAACCCAGACATGGGCTCTCCCTACCCTCCTCAAAAAAATTCTCCCAACTGCCCGGATTTTATGCCACGTAACCCCAGACCCTTTACCCCTCTCCGGGGTCCCACCTCGCTCTCTGCTGGTCTTGGGCCAGCGCCTGCTTCTCAGCGCCAGCCCCGGACTGTGGCCCAGGGCTCAGGGTCCTGCGAGGTCTAGGGCTCAGAACCGCCCCCTCCGCCCACCACGTGGCCGGACCGGATCCCGGGGCGGGGCCGAAGACTGCGAGCAAGGGCCACCTACGTCACCGCGGCCGCGACGAAGAAGGCGTCTTCACCCGCCCCAGGTTCCAGCCTCCTCTCGGATTACGGGATCCTGCGATCCTCCCCGGGGTCAGCCACCGCCGCCGCCGCCAGCTCCGCCCCGGCGGCCGTCCGCCCCCAAGCCCGTCCCCAAGCCCCGCCCCGCAGGACTAGTCTGCGAGCCGGGGGTGGTCCCGCCCGGAGAGGGCTCTACCTTCCGCAATCTCCAGGTTGGGCGGGGTAGAGAGGAGAGCGGATACTGACACGGGAGGTTGCGTCTGCCCGCTCAGGCGCCCCTCTTGGGGTACAGCGCTACAAAGTCCTGCCAGAGCTGGAAAAAAAGTCCTGCCTACTCCCCCGTCCCCTCCCTCGAGTCTCTTGACTTTTCCCCTTTCCGTGTCTCAGCTCCTCAGGGAGGTCCCCGCTGATTGCCCCAGCCCCCTGTGTGGACAGGTTTTTGGTTAATAACTGTCCCCTGTAAGTTCCAGAAGGCTGGCTGCTCCATGTACCCACAGGATTCTGTCGCCGGCGGGGAGGCACAGAGCGGTGTCAGAGCGGCCGCCAGACACGTGCCAGGAACGGAGGATAAAGGGGCAGAGGAAAGGCACATGTGTGACTTCGTGTGAGATCATGCGAGTGTGCCACTGTGGGAGGTAATCCAACAGTGTGTATCAGCGTGCGTGTGTGTCACAATGCGAGTGTGAGATGTGGCTGGTGCGGCAGTTCTGCCCCCAGCTATAGGGGCTGAGTCAGTGTGGGGAGAGGCAGGGCTGAAGACTTCAACCTTTGTGCCCCAAGGAGGCAGGCTGGGAGGGAAGGGAAGGGGAGGGGTCTGTCCCAATCCTCCTGGGGTTTAAGTTTGATCTGCTTGCTGACCCATACATACCCAGGGGCAAGCAGGCTTGGCAGTTCACCACCAGTGCTGTGTTAATTGTTAAACCACATTCCCCACTTCTATCCCTACACATCCTGCTCCCTTTGGCCATAGGTACTGCATTCCTGACTCACTGGCACAACGGCCAGACCCTGGATTTCCTACCAACCCCAGTGGTCACACGACAGCAGTAACACCCGCTCTCCCAGACCCCCACAAGCTCTGTGAGACCAAGTGCTCCATATACCTAGACTGAGTCAATTTTAAAACCAAATTTTGAGCCAGGTATTACCATCATGCCCAGTTTACAGGTGAGGAAACTGAGTCACAGAGTAGTGAGGGCAGCTAGCTAAGAAGTAGACCATCTCAGACTGCTGAAGCCTCCCTCCAGCTCCCAGCCCCCAAGCAGTCCCGGACCTGCCTCTCACTCCCACCCCACCTGCTGCAACCCCAGGAAACAGGACCTGCCACTCCCTAGACATGACAAAAAAATGTTTGTTTTTTTTTATTGTGCCTGTGAGATGAAATGAGAGGTCCCGACTGGGCCCGGCCCTCTGGCCTCCACCCTCCAATCCCAGGGGCTGCCTCCCTGGTGGGGCACTGGTCCTGACTCTCCCAGCTCAGGCCAGGCCTGGGGCCTGGTCAGTGGGTGAACTCAAAGCAGGCGGTCAAGGAAGGCCAGGAGGACAAGGTGGAAGTCTTGCGGCTTGTGGAGGTAGCAGGCGTGGCCTGCATCACGCAGCTTCACCACAGAGTGGTTGGGCAGGTGGCGGAGCTGCCGCAGTGACTCTCGGGCCAGGATACGGTCCAGCTCCCCATACAGGATGAGAGTCGGGGTCTGCAGGGCAAGGCAAGGGGCTGTGATCCTGGGGCCTGACGGCGACTGACCCTCTTGCCACCTCCTTAGGAAATCTTTCCCAAACACCCCACCTCTTTCTATCCAGATGAGGCCATGTGTCCTCCAACTGAGAACTGAGTCCTCCCCCCACCCATGACTGGAGCCAGGGATAGGAAGCTGGACCTTTGGAAACCCTCCTTCCAGTACCTTCACGGCCCAGAACTGTTCCTGGGTGTAGTTCTGGGTGGAGGCAGGTGCAATGGGCACAAATCCACGCAGCTGGTGGTGGCCTCGGATCAGGAAGGGCAGGGCATAGCGGCCACTCAGAGAGGGGCTCACCAAGACGGCATTGTGCACCTCCAGGTCTCGTAGCACTCGCTCCAGGAGCTCTGCCCGCCCTGCCTCTGTGCTTGCCTCCTTGGAAGGTGCCGAGTTCCCAAAACCTGGGAACAGCAGGAGGCACCAGCTGAGGGAGGCTGGAAAGGAACCCAGGACTTCCTGCCCCCCACAGTGGGGGAAGGAACAGAGGCACAGGGCAGCACTACCCCCAAACTTCCTGTAAGCTATTTTAGGTAATAGGATAGGTCCGCTAGAAAAGCATCTTTCACTCATTAGGGTGGCAAAACTAAAAAGACTGTCAATATGCAGTGTTGGGGAAGATGTGGGGAAATGGGCACTTTCATCCATGACTGATGGGAATATAAATCCATGTCACATTTTTGGAGGGTAAGGTAATATTTGTCAACATTTTAACAAATGTGCATCCTCTGACCCATCAATGATTCTTGGTAGCTACTCTATAGAAATTATTGCCTCCACGCTCAAAGAAACATGTCCAAAGCTGCTTCAGCTTCATGCCTCAAGCATTTCCACTGACGCTGGAAACTCTTAATCAACTTATGTATCTACCAGTGGAGGAATGGGTAGATGTTCATAGTGACTGGCCCGCTCTAGTATTGGGGGAGAAAACCAAGCTGCAGAGAGATTTGCTAAGCCGACAGGACATGAGTCATGTTTCTACCCTCACCACACAATCCTGAGTATTGTCTGTCTTTCTATATAGGGAAATGCTCAGGGGGGACCCCCTGGGCACCCCCAGACTGCTGGGAGAGAAGTGTTGGCATGGGTTGCTGAGGACGTCCCTCTCTCTTGGTTTTTAAAGATAAGAATGATAGCATAAATCATGTGCACAGCTAAAAAACCGAAAAGCTACCTAGTTTATCATAAAAAGTCCAGTGAGATCTCTCCGTGCAAGCTCTTGGGAAGTGAGTCACATTTCTATTTCTATTTCCCATGCTCTGGGACATGCCACAGTCCACATTCTAGTTTTCAAGGTAGAAAATAAAGACACAGACCTTCTAGCATTGCCATCTTGTGTTGCGACCTGCCACTGCTTGTCCAGACGCTGGGGTCCAAATTCCTCGCAACCCAGCCATACCGTAAGGCTTTTCTACCCCTCCAAGTCCTCCCTTGGGAAGCTGCCCCCTTGTGCCTGCCGGATGTTGCTTCCCTAGACCCCGGAGCAGGGGCTCTCACCTGGGAGGTCAAGGGCCACAGCCCGGTAGCCCCTCTGCGCCAGCAACTGCAGCGTGCCCAGCTGCTCCCACGTGTGCGAGTTAAAGGCCTTTCCGTGGAGTAGCATCACCTCCACCCTGTGGGCACACAGGGGAGTGTGTGTCCTCGGGGTCTGGAAGTGGGCCGCCCTTCTTTCTTTCTAGGCTTCTCCCACTGCCCTCCCAGGCCCTGAGCACCCTGAGTTGAGCTGGGGTCCCACACAGGGACTCCCCTCGGACCTAGACCTTCCACTACACCCTGAGGTCAGCACCCACCTGCGTGCCCGGTGGAGCGGCAGCACCTCGCGGTAAAAGATGGGGGAGTTGCCAGGGGTGAGACCAGCCAGGATTGTGACATTGGGGCCTCCCCAGAGCCAGGAGGTCTGCTCAGGGGGGCCTGGCAGCCCCACGTACAGTAGCAGCATGAGCAGCAGGCCCAGGCCCAGCAGGGCTACCTGGGACCGGCTCATGGAGGTCTGTACCACAGTCTGGAGGAGAGGAGAGGAAGAAGAGGCTGGGGCTGTGCCCCCACCAGGTCCCCTGGACCCCACCCCCAAGCCTCACCCAGAAGCCCTCAGTCAAAGGAAGAGCTCAGCCCTTGCCCTTTGTCCTGCTCCGAGCAAGGGTCTGAGGGTTCATATCCAACTACTCCATACATGCAGGGGCAAGGGCTCAGATACCCTGAAGCCTGAGAAGGAGCATCTGAGATCTTTCTGGAGACACACAGATGCTCAATAACCACCATCATCACTGTGCCAGCTAAAACCAGTGCTTATGACAGCCAGATCCTGTGCTTGGCCCTTCCCATACGAGGACTCACGAATCCACATAAGAACACTGGGAAGCAGACAGGATTATAGTTCTCTCGCCGATGAGGAAACAGGCTCAGAGAGGTAAATTCTTTTGCCCAAAATGCAGAGTAGCAGGTAGAGGAACTGGGACTTAAACCCAGAACTGGGCTGCTAACCACCAGGCTACACTCAGCTTGCCAAGGAAGAAACCATGGGGCTGGGAGGTGAGGGATGAACTGGAGCTTTGCTGGTGGACAGAGTAGTCAGACTCATCACAGAGTCATCACAGAGTGAAAGACTGGGGATGCCTGGGTGACTCAGTCGGTTAAGTGTCTGCCTTCAGCTCAGGTCATGATCCCAGGGTCCTAGGATGGAGCCCTGTGTTGGGCTCCTTGTTCAGCAGGAAGCCTGCTTCTCCCACTGCCTGCAGCTCTCCCTGCTTGTGTTCTCTCTATCACACAAATAAATAAAATCTTTTAAAGAAAATAAAAGGGGAAAGACTATGTGTAAAGTCCCATTTCACTGACAGCATGTTTGGAAATGGTTCTTTTTTTTTTTTTTATCGCACTGCATATAATAGTGCTTAAATCAGAATGTGTCTTCCAATTGATGGAAATATTCAGTGCTTTATCTCAGCTGATATTAAGTGGGAGGAGGGCTCATGGAGAACATCTGGGGTGGAGAAAGGCCAAGGCATGAACAGAATGAATGGGCCCAGGGAGGAACATGGTACACCTCGACATGGAGGCTGGAGAGACGAAAGCTCCCCCACCCGACGGACTCTTGTAGTCTGGGTCGTTTGCCTGTCCAGAGGACAGACATCAGGACTCAGGACCCAGACAGAAGGGTTAGCCCTGCCTTTGAGACTCTGCCTTGCCACTTCCTGGCTATGCGTCTTCAGCTTCTCAGTAAAATGGGGAAAAGGATCACCTTGCATCACCCTTCTCAAGTTTCCTGTGATATTTCAGGAATACAGTGGATTTGACCCAGGGCTGTCCTGTCATCATTTCTCGGGCCTAGGATGAGTACACCTGCCTTATTCACAGATTCCAGTGAACACATCTTTATTGGGTGCCAAGTGGGTGCTGGCCCAGCTAGAAACATATTGGGCACCACTCTCCTCTCCTGGGAGCTTTGACAGTGTTTCCCAAGCCCCCAGCCCCAGATTCCCAGTCCCGGGGTGGGTGGGCAGTGGCAGCCCTTCTGGTGCCAGCGAACAGCCAGGAGCTTAAGGAAGGAAGAGACCGCTCTTCTCTTCTGACCAGGAACAGCAACCTCCAGAGCAGCCTGAGCCTAGGGTCCCACCAGTGGGAGGATCCCCGAGGACCTCTCCTTGTGGCAAGCCTGCTGCGAGGGAGAGGAGGGACTTTGGCTGTTGCCTTGGCAACCTAGGCAGCTGGTGCACTAGACCATGGTGGGGGGAAGCTAGCCGGCGACTCAGCATGCACCAGACAAGCGTGGGGTCGGTTGGCTGTACCCAACTAGGTCCTTGGCATACGTGTGGACAATGACACACAGGAGTACACGCGTGCACACAAACATCCAGTCTTGTCCCCACAGCTTTTCTTTTGCACAAGCTATTCCTGGTACGGCAGGTACAGGCAGACACACTTGGCCTGCGAGCAAGCGATCCCTTGAATTACGTACCCTCAAAACCAGCCACACAGCCAGCCATCAGGAAAGCAGAGGACACACACACACAGACACACCCGCTTTCAAAATCATGCAGACCCTCAAATTGCCAGCACAGTCATATACACAACCCCCAAACCGCTCCTGCATACAAGAAACGCGCATGTACAGGCAAACAGACACACATAGCCTCAAAAATACACACGCACACGTAGCTACACACCCTCAAAATCACGTACGCAGAAATGCACACAGCAGGCAGACACACAGGCGTATAGACAGACCGACATCCTCCTCAACGTAGGCACGTAGAAACAGACACACACCACATCGACACACGTGTATCCAGACCCCCGAGAACGCACGCAGACCAAAGCCTGGGCAACACACGCAACACACTAACACAGGGACACTCGCTGCCCCCCGCAGCGGCCACTCCCGCAGGACTCCGACCCAGGGCCCCCGGGGCAAGGGGCGGAGCCAGAACGGCCCGCCCCCGGGCACCCCGCAGCCTTCACTCCGCGGAGACACTCACCGGGCCGACCGGGATCACCGGGCCGGACACCCCAGCGCGGGCCCCGCCCACGCGGAACCAGCAGCCAAACAGCGCCGCCACCATGGCGCTGCCTCCGCCGCTCTGCGGGCGGCTGCGGGGACCAGGAGGCAGAGAGCGCGGCCGGGGAGGCGCGCTTGCGCAGTCCGCAGTCGCAGGCCCCCGCGCCTCCTAAACCCACGGAGGGGGGCACTCTAGGCGGTGCCCAAAAACACGTAGGCCCGGCCCACTGTCCCGATTTTCCGGATTGTTCTCAGTCCGAAGGCCAGGGGAGAGCCACCGGCTTCTTCCCACCAGGCCGTCTCTATTGTGGGTCAGCCCGTCGTCTGTACAGAGCGGGTAAGGATAAGGACTGTCTTAAGGGCCGCAAAAGATGGGTCAAGCCGTAGCACAGTGTCTGGAGAGGAGGCCTCGCTGTTCAATGTCAGATGTTATAGCCCCTTGGCGGCTCCTGGTCTCAGTCCAACCGCTTCCCGCACCCCTGCACTTACACAGGCACACGCACTCGTTCATAACCCGGGGTGGCCTCTGGGCCTCTTTCACTGCTCTTTATGGCACCTAGCCTGCTGGCGATATGTGGCCAAGCCAGGCGTGGCAGCCAGGCCGGTACAGGGAGGCAGCGCAGGGACCATAGGACTCCCTCTGTTATAGACACCCTGACAAACAGGCAACATCACACCCATTCTACAAGCCCAGAAACAGATTCGGAGACGCTGTGAAAACGGCGAGGTCACCTGGATGGACTTTGATAGAACCTCACACCCAACGGAGGTCTGGCTTCACCGCCTGCCCGCGCACAACTCTGGGCCTGGGCAGGGTGGGGACGCACGAACCCTTCTCCGCAAGCCGTATCGTGTGCATCTGGAGCAGGCTGCTGGGACCGCACCCAGCCAGGTGCTTGCAACTCCCGGGGCCGAGGGGTTTGGGGAGTAAAGTTCGGCCGAGGCTGCTGGGACAGTAAAGATCTAGCGGCAGCGACGGGCCCTGCGACGGCTTGTGGCCACAAGAGGGCGCCCCGTAGCACGGCCTGGTCTCCGCCCTCGGCCGGGCCGCTTACCTGCTTCCCAGGCCCGGGCCGCAGTCGCCGCCCGCACTCGCCTGCCTCTTAACTGCGCGAGCCTACGCAGCTCCCCAGGTACCGGCCCTGCGCCCTCCGACCCTCTCTTCTTCTGTCCAGTGAGATCCCACCCCCCACCCGGCCCAAGTTCCTCCCCTTCCCATCTCGGCTCCCCAGGTCCCCTCCTCGGGTCTGCCCCCAACCTTGCCGCGTGCGCCTTACCGGGCCCAGGGAGCCAGAACCGAAGTCGGCCGAGGGGACCGAGCGAGCCGCCGCGGCTCCGATGACCGTGCGTCAGCGCGTTGGGCCCCAGCGGGTGGCGCGCCGGGTACTCCGCATTCCTCGCGGGCCGAACTCCAAAGCCTTTCCCAGCTCTGCGTTCCAGCTTCCGCCTCCGAAAAATGGGTTTTTAACTCCAACCCCGACCCCCTCCGGCCTGCGGTGCCAACCTACAAACTGTAACAGTGCCTTGAAGAGAAAGAGGTCCATAAGCAAAATAGCTGCTTACTGTCCTTGAGCACTTACTGAGCTCCCTCTGTGCTAGGAACCGTGTCCAGCGTTTCACATGCGGGAGCTCGTTTAATCCCATCCACCACCGGGAGCTGAGCACTATTGTATTAGCCCCATTCGTAGAAAGGGAGTATAACAATGAGGACAATAATCATAATGGGAGCTCCATGTATTGAGTTCAAGGGCAGGCACCCTCACTTGTCAATTCTTTTTTTTTTTTTTTTTTAACTCATTCATTCTTGAGGTAGGTTTTATTGCCACTTATTTCAGAAGAGGAAACTGAGGCCCAATGCCACACAGTTGAGTGGCGGAGGCATAAATAACACCTCGGTCTTCCTCATCTGAAAGCATGTGGAGAGTTCTGGCAGCCTCCTGGAGGCCCCCTTGCTGCTCCCAGAGGGACCCCTGCCCTCTCTGTCCCACCGGGTCGGGGGTTCTGTGGCTCCTCATCAGTCTGGCCTTGGACCACAGGTGCGTCACCAGTACAGCGGCGGTGATGGCCGGAGTGGAGCTTCATGAGGGCACCACCCAGGTGCAGGGCCAGAGCCTCTTCTTCCGGGAGGCTCGGCCAGGTGGTGGGCAGGCTGCCCGCTTCTCAATTCTGCTATTGCACGGCATCCGCTTCTCCTCCGAGACCTGGCAGAACCTGGGCACGCTGCACAGGCTGGCTCAGGCTGGCTATCGGGCTGTGGCCATGGACCTGCCAGGTACCTCTGGGGCAAACTTCTGGACGGGGTTGTGGGGGGCCTCACCGAGGCCTGGGCCCTGGGGCACTGGGAGGACCTTGACAGGGTGCAGTGCCCTCAGCAAGGCCCTTCCGGTTTCTCGGGTCTCAATCCGGGTGTGGTCTGGACACCGTCCAGCTGGTTCTAACCAGGTTGCCCGGGGCAGTGTCTCAGAGGCTCTGAGCCTGCTTCCTCCTCTGTAATGAGAGCTACAGATTTGGGGGGTTGGCTCTAGTGAGAAGGGACTGAGATACGTGCATATGTCATCGGTACCCAACACCTAAGAATCGGTACTCAGCCAAGTGGAATTAAAATCTTTTGACGGAGCCATAACCGTAGCTTCTGTTGGAAGCCCTAAGGAGTGAGACTGAGTCTCCTGACACATGGGGGGGGGGGGGCTGGTGGGTGGCCAAGCCCCCACTCACCATCCCAGGGACAAAGCCCAGAACTGGGTTCAGTGGTAGGGCAGGAGCAGCCCCAGAACGGCTGTCATAACCTGGACTGGTAGGCCCCAGCCCGTGGAGCCGAGTATGAAGGGGCAGCAGAGCTGACCTGCTCCCCTCACAGGCCATGGCTGGCAGGGTTTCAGGGCCCAAGCGTGGGCCTCCAGGCCCAGATGGGATTGGTTCGGACCATGGGTTGGGCTGATGATCTTCCAGGTGAAGGTCTTGAGCTAATCTTTTGGGGGTAGGTGGGGCCTGACTCATTGGAGGGAAGGTACATGCGCAGAGCCAGCTCCTCGACCCCGTCCACCCTGCCAGCCCTGAGATAGGTGCCTCTTAAGCAGTTAATTCACTTAATTTTCACCGCAACCTGAAATGGCAGATACTTTTTTGTCTCCTTTAACAGATGGGGAAACTAAGCAGCTGAGGGAGGGGTGAGGAGACTTTCCTAAGGTCGCCTGGATAGTTAAGTGGAAAATTGAGACTTGGCCCCAGCTGTGTTGGACTTAAGAGACCAATCCTTTCCAGGACACTCTATGGCTGGGAGAGGTGGGCACAGACATAGAGGAAAATGCCTCATGCTTGCCACAGATAGGATAGATCTAGGTTGCTGTAGGAATAAACTTGGGCACTCTGTGTGCTGCTGGAACCTGGCACAGAGAGATTGACCTAGGAGGGCTTCCTGGAGGAAGGGACTATCTCTTCCATTTTCCCCATTCAATGCTCTTGTCTTTCCCACACCTGAATCCCTGCAGGCCTGGGGCACTCCAAGGAAGCAGCAGCCCCTGCCCCTATTGGGGAGCTGGTCCCCAGCAGCTTCCTGGCAGCTGTGGTGGACGCCCTGGACCTGGGCTCTCCAGTTGTGATCAGCCCATCGTTGAGCGGCATGTACTCCCTGCCCTTCCTCACGGCCCCTGGCTCCCAGCTTCGGGGCTATGTACCAGTGGCCCCCATCTGCACTGACAAAATCAATGCTGCGGACTATGCCAGTGTGAAGGTATCCCCATGTGGGGGGCTGAGATGCCCCTGCCATGAGCAAGAAAGGGTCCATCCTGGGGCCTTTCCTCCACTGGGGGCAGGTTAACGGAGGGGTGTCTTCTTGAGGGGAGCTAAACTACCAAACTCTGCCCTTTTGGTTTACTTAGCTGCAGATTCCTGTGCCTTGGCCTGTGCTAAACTATGTGCCAGAGCAGACAAAAATGCATGCCTCTGTCCCCCAGGAGCTGGGGCCTCTCCTACCACCTACTGGGCCAGCTTGTTCCTCCCCTTCATTTGGGGTGGCCCCAGGGAGAGACTGAAGTGGTGGTGGGGCTAGAGCTGACCCCCTCTAGGATGTTGGGGCTGGTGTGGTAGATCCCTGTTTACTATTTCCCTTTCATTTCTCTAGACCTCAACTCTTATAGTATATGGAGACCAGGACCCCATGGGCCTGACCAGCTTTGAGCACCTGAAGCAGCTGCCCAACCACCGGGTGTTGGTCATGGAGGGGGCAGGGCACCCCTGCTACCTTGACAAACCTGAGGAGTGGCACACGGGGCTGCTGGATTTCCTGCAGGGGCTAGCATGAGACCCAGCCCTGCAGATGGGGGTGGCTGCTGGCCTGCTTTGGGCTCTCTCTCTTTCCTCCCTCCATGGGTTCCTGCTCATCACATACATTCAACAGGTGTGTCTGTCTATCTGGGTTCTTGTCTCTAGGATCTGTCTTCTCCTCTTCCTCTTTCTCTTGCAGTGACAGACTAAGGAGGTGAAATCAAGAGGAAAAGCCTCAGGAATCAAGAGACGTAATCTGGTGGAGGGTAATCCATTAGATGGGTTTCTCCTATAGGTTTTCCTGTTCCCTCACTCTCCTTCCTCTACCCTGTGCAGCCTCCCCATCCTGTCTCCAGCCTCTTCCTTGGGCTGCCCTGCAGGGCACTCACACCTCCTACTCCTGTCTCTTAGACCACAGATACATCCATGCGCACTTGCATGCTTACCCATGTAGAGCCATCCATGTTCCCAGATACGACCCTTCACTCGGGAGCAACCCCATAGGTACAGGCAACGCTGGACTGAAAGGCACACTGTCACCTACAGCTTTGCCTTGCATGCATTGCATGCGTTCACACATGTGCACTCTTGTGCTCTCACACAAGCATTCACATGGGCACACACACACCCTCCCAACCATGCAGCCCCCCACTGTCCAGGAAGGTGGGGACCCTCCTTGCAGGAGACACTCTGACAGGCTTAGGAGTAGCCAGCCCCGAACTCCATTCACCCACAGGTTGCAGCTGGCCCCAGACCTTGGAACCTCCGATCTCCCTGCTTTCCCTCCTCTTTCTGGGTGCTCCACACCTCCCCAGGTTATTAGGCCTGGATCTGCTCAACCAAGCTTGTTTCCTGCTCTGAGGTTTGGGGGCTGGGGAGACGGAGAGCGGAGTGGAGGTCGGTGAAATAAAGTGATGCAATTAGACCCCTCAGGCTCCTGCTGTCTCCGGAGCGCCGCCCCTCCCCCGCCCCTGGGGACCAACACGGTAGGCCCCTCCCCCACCCTGGCGGGACCAGATGGTCCCCCTGCCCTTTGTCCACTCGGCCAGATGGAGGGGAAGGGAGATTGGATTCCCCTCCCCACCCACACACACACACACACACACACACACACACACACCCAGGTGCCAAGAGACTCAGCTGTGGGGGGAGGTGGAGGTCAGTGGGACCAGGCTAAGCCGATTACGGAGGAGAGGGGGAGGTAGATCTGTTCCCCAAAGGGTACGGTGGGGGAGGGAGAGGGCTTGGGGACCGTACAACTCCCCCCATTCTCTAGCCGAGTACACAACTGCGCCGCGGCCCTTGCGACCCTAGCCCCAAAAAGGCATTCTGGGGGTAGCTTTGGGAGAATGGCGGGGCGGGGTGCAAGGGATCACACCGCTCTCAGGCCCCTCCTCCAGCCGGTCCGGTAACCTGTCCCGGGCGGACAAGGGCCGGGCTTCGCGGAAGCCGTGGGTGGCTGAGGGGCGCGGGTCTTTTTGGGGGAGAGCCCCGCGCGGGGATGGATGGCGCAGAAGCGAGCAGAGCCGGGAACCCGGCCGGGCGGAGGGCCGAAGTCGGGGTTCCGAGGGATCCGAGCCGGAGCCGGGCAGCTCGGGGCCTGGCGGCGGGCCCCAGACCGAGACGGGGGCGCGTGGGGTCGGCGGAGGCTCCCGGAGGGCGGCTCTGTCAGGCGGAGAGCGCAGGGGCTCCCGGCCGGGCGCGGCGCCGGGGGACCGAGGCTGGGCGGGCGCTGGCGGCGGGACCCCCCTGTCCCGCCTCCCGTCCCGCCCCCAGCTCCCGGCGCCCGGACGAGCTGCCGGGGGAGGGTCGCCCCAGCCCTCCGGAAGCGGCCGCCGCTCCGGGCGCACCGCGGCGCGCGGGGCGGGGCGGGCGGCTGCGGCACTGGGGCGGCTGGGGCGGGCCCGCCGCGCTGTAATCGGATCCGGGGAGGGGGCGGGGAGGGGCCGGGCCGGGCGGGCCGGGGGGTGGTGGGGGGGGCGCGGAGCCGGGCTCCGGGCCGGCCGGGCTCCGCGCCTGTCAAACCCCTCATTGTTCGCAGCTGATGTCACTCGCAGTTGTGAGCGGCCGCCTCTCCCGGGGACAATGTGGGACTGAGCGGCCCAGCCGCCGCGCCGCCGCTGCCGCCGCCGCCGCCGCCGCAGGACAGCCCCAGCGAGGTAGGGCGCGGGCCGGGCGGGGCACCGCGGGCCGCGAAGTTTGGGGGTTCGGCCGGGGGGGGGGCGGGGAGCCCGCGCCGGAGTCTACAGGCCGGGGTCCCGGTTTGGGATACTGGGAGACTGAGAGGAACACGCTTCCCTGTCCCACACGGGCCCAGGCCTGCACAGGTGGGGGGCGCTGCTCTGCCCGAGGAGCCCCCAGCACCAGGGAGTGCCTTCCTGGACCCGAGACCCCAGATTTGAGGCCCACATCCCACCTGCTCTTTCTGTTCTTTGGACCTGCTTTTCTCTCGACCTCCTGCCTTGTGTTCTGGTTCTGCTCCATCTCTATCCCCATCAGCCATTCCCCTGCAGTTCCTGGCTCAGCACACACCCCTTCCCATTCTCTGCAGTCCTTGGTTGGGGCGGGGGAGCAGGCAGACAAACCTCCAGACCAGGGGTGTGTGGAGATGACAGTTGGGGACTCAGAGTGGTCCCTTAGGCTTTGTGACTCTTCAGCCCCTCAGCTCTGACCTAGCTTCTAGCTGAAGTCCTGGGGGGCAGGGGGTGTCTCTGGATACTCACTTCAGCCTGGCCCTCATGCCTGCCTGGCCAGGAGAGGGAGGTGCCCACCTCCTCACTCCCCTATCCCAGGCCCGCCATCTTGAGACCTGTGGCACCCAGTGCTCCGCCCGGCTCCAGCACCCTGGGGAGTGGTCTTCAAGGGGATGCACCTAGGGCCAGCTGCATTCCCTCCTCCCAGAAAGTGGGCTCTTGGTCCCCTCCAAACCCACAATGCTTACCTTCATGCTGGACCAACAGGGCATGTGTCCCTAAGGGCCCTCCTTCTCCTACAAAGAGCCCTTAGACCCCAGGGACTCTCCAGGAGCTTAAATCTTAGCTCTAGCCTTCACTCTTTCCTGGGGTTACCCTCATTCCTTCAGGGCCAGCACCTGGGACCCTACTTTTCCCATCTGAAGGTCCCCTACTCCCTCTGAGCCCTGCAGCCCCGTCAACCTCCAAAGCACCCCCATCCCAGCCCCCACCCCCCAGCCTTCATCAGCATGCAGGCTCAGGCTGCCCAAACACAAGGGGATTGTTCTTCTTGCATGCTCAGGGTGGGGGGCTGGGAGCAGGCGGCCCACACACCCTGGCAGGCCCAGGCCACAGGGAGGCTGGCTTTGCCCCGCCCTGTGTCCCCAGACAGGCTCTGTCCACCCTCCCTGCTCCCATCCCTGCCCCCCTCCCCTCCAGCTTCCATCACCATTGCCCCATGGCATTGACCTCTTGAGAAAAGAGCTCTGAGCCACACAGGTGGACCCCTGTTCTCCCAGCTCCGCCAGTTGCCTTTCATGTAGCCTTATAAACAAGCACCTCCCTCTCTGGGCCTCCGGTTCTGACTTTGTGAAACCCGTGCCACTCCCCAGCTCTTCCTCCAGCCTCGCTTCCACATGGGGAAACCCATTCTGGGCCCCTAGGAGCCTCAAAGCACTGCACAAATCCCCTATCCCAGTGACATGACCGCGGAGCCCCTAGACCCAAAGAAACAGCAGGAGCAGGGGCTGGGGGTACTGAGGAATGGGAACTGGGAATTCTGTCCCAGCAGATCCTGGATCTCCCATGTGGCTGGTCCCCCATGCCCTGGATCTTCTCTCACCATCCTCTCTTCTTTCCTGGGACCCTCAGCCCCATTTCAGGTTCCTAACGCCTCCAGGCCCTTCTCTCTACACACGGAGCGTGGTTCTGGCTCCCGCCCTCCTGGAGGAACTCCTACCCTCCTGGATAATAGAAAGATAGGCTTGAAAAATGCCTGTTAGGGCTCCTTTGAGCTGAGCTGGGGCATAGAGGCCTGAGTGATTATATCTGACTTGGAAGGTTGGGAAGACTTCACAGAGGAGGTGGCATTTGAGAGGGATTTTGACAGAGGAGGATGGGCATTTCAAGCTGGGATGAGCTGGGGCAAAGGGCCAGAGGCCTGGAGGTACTAGACGTGTTTTGCAGCCTGGTGTGTAGGGGGGAAGGGGTAGAAATGAGACAAGAGAAACTGACAGGAGCCAGATCATGAGGGACCTTGAGTGCCTGTCTGTGGTGATCAAGCTTTATTCCTTGGGTACTGGGGAGCCAAAGATGGCTGTTAAGCCGCAGAATGATCTGTCTCCAGCATGGAAAATCGAAGCTAGAGGCCTTTTTCAAGTTGGGTGAGGCAGTGAGGGGATGGGTACCAGTCCGTGGGTGGGGACACAACCAAGAAGTTGTGTCCTTTCTCTTGGAGTGCAGTCTGGCCTGGGCCTGCCTCAGTTTCCCTTGGCTGTAAGGACTCTTGAGGGGTTGCTGAATGATGCTCTAAGGAGACTGTGGCATTTCTGGCACCAGCCAACTTGTCAGCGCTTCCCTTTGCTGCTTCGCACTGAGTCTGTAGGACAGCCTTGGGCCGGGAAACCAGAGGGTGGAACTCATGGACCCCACGCTGCTCCCCGAAGGCCTCTCCTCTCCGCCGACTCTCCCAAGAGGTGGCATGAATCCTGGGAGGCTATAAGGCTGAGAGGCTGGGTGCATGGGTCGGAGGATACTAGGGCACTTCTTGTGGAGGCCTGGGTAATCAGGAAGGGGGCGCACACCCAGAGAAGGGAGCAGGCAGCGGAGTTCAGGATCCTTCAGTGCTGATCTCCCCATGCCCAGTGTCCACCTCCTGCCACACCCTGCTTCGTCTGATGTCCTGAGCCATTCCTCAGCATCACTGGGTGTGGCCTGCATGGCTGCTTTTGGATTAGGAGTAGGAGGCTGCTAGGTTGGAGCCTGATGGTGCTAAGGGGGATGTCGGGGGATATGAGGTGGGGGATGAACTTGGAGACCATCCCCCGCCACCTTCTCCCTACCCCAGGTGGGTCTATAAGGCCTGGTTGGTCCAGAAGCTGGCTAGCAGAGCCAAGGGAATCCCCCAAGAGGCGGGCCAGTCCACTTGAGTTGCCTAGCCCCAGGAGCCCTCCCCTCCCCCGGATTGTTCTTGCTCCAGAACAAAGCCAGGGTGGACACTTGATCCCTGCATGTGGGGGGGAGCTGGCTAAGCCCCCGGCCCTTTGATTGGGCAGCTGTCATGAGAGAGAGAGACAGCTGGGGGGGAGGGGCAGGAAGGGGCAGCCGCCATCGCTTACACAGCTGTCACCCCCCTCCCCGCCCCCTCCAGCCTGAGTGGCAGGAAGCCAGGGACAGAAGGAGTGGGCACTGGGTCTGGGGAGGGGGCCTAGGGAGCAGGAGGGAACACCCGAGGTCAGAGGCAGAGGCCTGGTCTGAGCTTGGTGTGTTCTGCTAGGGAGCCCTGCTGACCAGAGGGGGCTGGGCACCCCCAGAGGTGAGCTGGAGGTCAGTGTGGCATGACGTGTGGCTGCCATGTGGGTGGCCCAGCGGGGACCCAGCGCCCACCAGCAGATGATTCCCTGAGAACTCTGGTGAGGGGAGGAGGGGAGCCAGCATGCCAAATAGGGCTGCTTGTTCTTAGGGTCCCTAGGAGAATAATTTGGGAGACCTGTGTCAGGAACTCCTGTTCTCTCCTAAAAACAGGAGAGATCTTGAGGGTCCTTCAGAACAGGAAGGACACAGAGGGACCAGCACCAGCACACACACCCTCTCCCCTCCAGTCCCACACATACACATAAATAGCACAGGCGGGTAAACTGAGGTCCAGGTCAGAGGAAGGCCTGGCCAAGGTCACCATGAAATTCGGGGCAGTGGGCTCTGCTGCAGACCCAGGTATCTTATTCAGGGCAGGAACTCTAGTTCTGGCCACATCCTAGCCCCTTTGCCCTTTTCTCCTTGAGGCTTACGACCCCAAAGGCGATGGGGAAATGGTATGGGGACAGTGTCAGATCTCCCACTGGTTACTACTCCAGAGGAGCTCGTGAGCCTCAGAATATTCTGGAGATTAAGACCATGGCTTTGGGCAAGTTGTCAGTCCTTTCCAAACATGACCCCCACGTACTAGGCAGGCAGGGGTCTTAGGAACTACTAAAGCCTGTTCCCCACCTTTGAAGAACCTCCCTCCAGGAAGAGGATTGACAGACCCAGATGGAACAGCCAGAAAGGGGAGATAGATGAGGCCTGTGGTAGAGAGCCCCATGCTAGCAGGTAGGACCATGCTGGTCCCACCATTGCCCACCTCTCTGTGACCTTGGGCAGGTTAGAGACCCTCATGTTGGCATCAGGTTCCCTTCTGTTTGGTGAATTCATCTGTTCAGCTAACCATTATGTTCGGAACACCTTCTCCCGTCTGGCTCTTGGCCTGAGCTCTGGGGACACAAGGAGAAGGTGGCGGCCTTGGCTGCTGCTCTAAGGGGCTCCCGGGCTTGGCTGTCCAGGGAGACAGAAACTAAGCACGTCATCACAAGTGCTTTGCTGGAGGAAGTGCGTGCAGCTGGGGGAATGTTTGCAAGGGCAGCCAGCATGAGGTTGGCCAGGATGCTCACAGAGCCCAGTCCCTGTATCCACTGTTGACCTCTGACCTCTGGAGAGCCTCTGGACAGTACTCAAGCAGAGGGAGGAGCAGGTGCTGGGGATACAAGTTACCTTAGGGCTTGAGGGAACAGCGTTGTCACCCAATGGTACAGATGAAGGAACAGGCTTCATGTTGGCTTCCTTGGGCTTCCTGAGAAAGCCAGGCTGGGAACACCCCCTTCCTACTCCATGCCCAAGCTCTGGCTAGCAAGGGGGTCCCAAAGAGGGGACTCGACAGTGCTCCACACCCTTGACCTTCATTTCAGGAGAGGGCAGGGGGCTGAAGAAGAAGGTGCCCAGAGGTCTCCAGAGTGCTCTAGGCAGGCACACGCATCCTTGGCTCCCATGCCCTCCTGGGCAGAAGGAATTTGCAGGATTAGGGCTTGGCCTTGGCTTAGTTTTGGCACCAGTTGGTCCCACTCCGTTTTCTTCCTTGGGTTCTGGTCCCCTCATTAGCTCCCATCAAAGCTGAGCCTTGGTGGGAGACAGTCACTGGAGGAGAGGGATTTCCAAGCAGGATTAAGGTTCAGGATTAAGTTGGGGCATGAAAAGGGGTCGGGTAGGGAGGGCTGGCGGCTGGGTTAATCCCAGAAGCTAATCTCTGTCTCCTCCTTCCTCTGTCAGTTAACAGCCTTGACATTTCCCAGCCCCCAAATCCCTTTCTTACCAATCACCCAGTCTCTAGGGGAAGCATTCTCTCCATTTCATAGGTGAGGAAATTGAGACCAGGAGCCAGTGGCCTTGTTTCTGGTACAGTGGAAAGTGTTCCAGGCTGGGAATGTGGCCACTTCTTACCTCTGCAGCCAGCAGGAGAGCAGCCCTGTGCAGACTGCTGGTCTCCTGACACCATGCCCCCTCGCCCCTACGTGCTGTATGAACCCTGCTCACAGCTGTCTGCAGGGATCTTCTGCTTTAGTGACCAGCCCCACAGACCTGGGGCTCCCCGCCCTTGTGCCCCCCTCCCTACAAGCCTTTGCCAGGCAATGGGAAGGCTGGGGCAAGAGGACACTTCTAGAACCTTGTTCTTTTCACTTCTACCCTCCTTTCAAGGCCTCCCCATGGCTCCCCATGGCTGCTCCAGCCTCCTGGCCAGCTGCAACCCCATGTTCTCGTGGGGAGGGGTGCTGGTGGGGGGAAGGCTGTGGTCCCTGGATGCAAGTGCTTCTTATTTGAATTAACTTTTCAAACTTAATCATGCTTTCAAGGCCCAGTTCCAGGGGCCTCCTCTTCTAAGAGGTCAGAGAGGAGTCCCCACCCCAGACTCCCATAGGTCTCCAGGTTAATTCTTTCTTCCAGTGTACATGGGGAAAGGGAAGGAGGGAAGGAGACCCATGGTGACTGGCTGCCTCCCACATACGTGTTCAGCTTGTTCTAATTCTCATGACTCTCTCGGGGTAGGACCTGGTAGTCTCTTCTTGTGGACAGGGCGGGGGAAGCGGAGCCTTGGGCGGGTAAAATGAGCTGTCCAGGGTCACACAGCAAGTGAGTGGCACACAAGGGTATCAATCAGGGTGACACTTGAAACCGGGGGTCTGCGCTGTCTCTCTTCTATGGGAATTTGGTCAGTCTGACACTGAGGTCCCCATGTAAAGGTAGGGGACCCAAAAGAGATGGGAGCTCCCCTCTAATCCCTCTTCCCTCTTCCACTGCCCCCCTCCTCCGCCAGAGCCGCCAGGCACCGTGGACGCACTCCTAGGCCGCTGTGGCCCCAGCCCCGCTTGACAGGATGAGCGGCTCAGATGCGGGGCTGGAGGAGGAGCCAGAGCTCAGCATCACCCTCACCCTGCGGATGCTGATGCACGGGAAGGTGAGTGGGGGCTGGGCCGGACAAGGCAGGGCAGGCCAGGAATGTGAGTTCCTGTGTCCTGTCTCGGCTAGATTCCCCATCCTGGTGGCCCGGGCTGGGCCTGGGGCACCACTCCCCCCTGACTATGCTCTTGTCTTGTTTGCAGGAGGTCGGCAGCATAATCGGGAAGGTAGGTGCCCAGTTCTTTTCTGTGCGGACCTCCACCTGAGGCCCCAGTGACCGCTGGGGCTAAGAGCCATTCCGTATTTTTTCTCCCACAGAAAGGAGAGACTGTAAAGCGAATCCGGGAGCAGGTGAGGCTGGAGTTTGGGAGAGCTGCCCAGGGCATCTAGTTTGGAGGGGAGGGGAGATACCTGCCCCACCTTTTTCCCTGCCCTCCACCATTTGGGATGACCAATGAGTGCCCTTGGAAAGTAGCTGTTTCCAGTGGTGGGCTGGGGCCTGGTGGGGTGGCAGGCAGACAGGTTCCCCGCAAGGAAGTGGAGAAGGAGCCCCACCGCCTGGCGTTGTGTGTCCCCGCAGAGCAGTGCCCGGATCACCATCTCTGAGGGCTCCTGCCCCGAGCGCATCACCACCATCACAGGGTCTACAGCGGCTGTCTTCCATGCAGTCTCCATGATCGCCTTCAAGCTGGATGAGGTCTGTGGCTGGCTGGGCTGGGAGGCTGGGAGTGGTTCCCTGGGCCAGGGCTCCACACAGGGGCTGCAGGTGGCAGGGAAGGCCAAACCCAGGGTGGGCTAGGTTTCTTCATTAGGGTAGGATCTGGGGAGGGCTTCTCCCCTTCACACCCAAGCAGGCAGGTTCTCCCATGGGAGGGGGAGCAGCAGGGGCATGGAGAGCCAAACCACAATCTTCCTGCCCAGGACCTTTGTGCCGCTCCTGCAAATGGTGGGAATGTCTCCAGGCCTCCAGTGACCCTGCGCCTCGTCATTCCTGCAAGCCAGTGTGGCTCACTGATTGGCAAGGCTGGCACCAAGATCAAGGAGATCCGAGAAGTGAGGAGAAGGGGGATACCACCCTCAGGGAGTCCTACCCTTCCCCGGACTTACAGCTTCCTGTCCCCTGGGGAGCTCAAAGCCTGGGCAGCCCTGGCCTGGATTATGAGGGTAGCCAGAAGTGGTCCCTGTTCTCTGCTTGCAGACCACGGGGGCCCAGGTACAGGTGGCAGGAGACCTGCTCCCCAACTCTACAGAGCGTGCTGTCACCGTGTCTGGGGTGCCTGATGCCATCATCCTGTGTGTGCGCCAGATCTGCGCTGTTATCCTGGAGGTGCTTCCTTGGTGCAGGGAGAGGGGACGGGGATGGGCCTGCCATCCTGCCTTGTCAGGCTCCCTAACCCTATACCTGTGGCACCAGCTGGAGGCCAGGCTGGGCTTCAGAGATGGACTGGGAGCTCCAGAATGTTGGGATGCATTTACCTGGGGGTCATAGTGAGGGCCTTGGGAACATAGGGTCCTTGGGGAGGTCAGAGGGGCGAGGGAGGGGCCTGATAGGGCCTTCCCCTTTTGTGCCTTCCAGTCCCCACCCAAAGGAGCTACTATCCCATATCATCCGAGCCTGTCCTTAGGTACCGTCCTTCTCTCTGCCAACCAGGTGAGGTGGGACAGTAGGATGGGTAGGAAGCATTCCTGGAGAAGGAGGTTGAGGTGGGGGAGGGATGGAAGAAGGACTTGGGGGCTGGCAGCGGGGGAGGAGTGATTGGCCAAATTGCTCTGACTTGTCACAGTCACCCTCTTTCCCCCACTTTGTCCTCACAGGGCTTTTCCGTCCAGGGTCAGTATGGGGCTGTGACCCCCGCTGAGGTGAGTAACCATAGCCCCAGGGACCTCTTCCAAAACCAAGCTTCCTCTGACTCCTGACCCTCTTCTTTGGCACAGGTCACCAAGCTCCAGCAGCTTTCAGGCCACGCAGTCCCCTTTGCCTCCCCCAGCATGGTGCCAGGTGAGCGGCCCTGCAGAAGGAGGCAGGGTCAACCCCACTGGGAGTGTATGTGGGGAGGCAGGAAAGGCCCAGCGCCATGTCCAATCCCTCTTCTCCTCCCTCCTAGGACTGGATCCCGGCACACAGACCAGCTCACAGGAGTTCTTGGTTCCCAATGACGTGAGCAGAGGATGGGGTGGTTTGTGGGGGTGGTTCCTGGGGTCTAGGCCTGGCCCAGGGTTGAATTCCACTCTCCCCGCAGCTGATTGGCTGCGTGATCGGGCGCCAGGGCAGCAAGATCAGTGAGATCCGACAGATGTCAGGGGCACATATCAAGATCGGGAACCAAGCGGAAGGTGCTGGCGAGAGGCACGTGACCATCACTGGTTCCCCTGTCTCCATCGCCCTGGCCCAGTACCTCATCACTGCCTGGTGAGTGTGGGGTGGGGGTGGTCCAGGTCACAGGGCTCAAGTGCCTGTAAAAGGCACGATTGGGGTGGGCAGAGCTGATCTCCCTTCTCTGTCTCTGTCTGGGTACATCCTCTGTCTCCCCGAACCCTCGCCTTACCGACTCCATGTGGCCACGTCTTCTCTTCCACATCTGTCCCTTGTGTCCTCTTTTCCCTTGTGTCCTCTTTCCCCCGGGTTTCAAACTCCCCTATCTCCCCTCACTGAGTACCATACCTGCTTATCATTACTCTTCTGCCATTCCTATCCTCCCCTCAATATCCCCTCACCATGTCATTATTCTTGATTCCTCTTTGCCTCTTATCTAATCTCCCCCATATTTACCCTTACTGCCCCTCTCTTACCTCCACTGTTCCCTTCATCTCCCCCCATATCCCTCTTTCCAGTCTAGAAACGGCCAAGTCTACCTCTGGGGGGACGCCCGGCTCAGCCCCCACAGACCTGCCTGCCCCCTTCTCGCCGCCCCTGACGGCCCTGCCCACAGCTCCCCCAGGCCTGCTGGGCACACCCTATGCCATCTCCCTCTCCAACTTCATCGGCCTCAAGCCTGTGCCCTTCTTGGCTCTGCCACCTGCCTCCCCAGGGCCGCCGCCGGGCTTGGCGGCCTACACTGCCAAGATGGCAGCAGCCAATGGGAGCAAGAAAGCTGAGCGGCAGAAATTCTCCCCCTACTGAGGCCGACTGAGGCACAGGCGCAGGGGCAGGCAGGACCACCGGTAGGGGGCTGCCTCTGCACCCTCCCTGCCCAAGGAGACTCCACCCTGGGGTCCCAAATGCCACTAATGCCCAGACGCATGGATGCACCCCTCCACTCAGCCCGGGTCTGTGGGAGTTCCTCCTCTTGGAGTGGGAGCAGTTTCTGGCCCAGGGTCCGGGAGCCGCAGCCGCCCCAGGGTATGGGGCTCCACCCCCTGTAGCTCTATGCTTGGATGCAGGGAGCATCCTTAGTGTCCCCACTTCAGAGGGTCACTCATGCACTCCCCATCCCTTAGGGCTTCCCAGCCTACTGGCCCCCCTGTGGGGATCAGGGAGGAGGGCCGGGGGTGGGGGTGGCTGGGGGCCACGCTTCTCTCCCCACCTCCCTGCAGATTCCTGCTGCTTCCACTGATACCCTTTTGACTGGAATGGACTGGCTGGGCTTGGCAGAGGGCGACCCAAAGAGGGGACCCTGCCGGGCAGCTGGGGGAGTGGCATGGAGGCAGGGGCCGAATTCTCAGCAGCAGACACTCTGTACAGTTTTTTCAATCCCTGTTTTTGAATAAATATTCTCAGAGACCAGGAAGCTGTGAAACATTGTGGGTGTTGGCAAAACCTCCAGAGAATGGGTGTGGCCGAGTCCCCGGAGGACCCCATCTGTGAATTCGCCATTGGGTCTTGGCCCCTTCCACATGCCAGTTCTGGGGCTTCCGCGTCCTGTTGTCCAGCCTCCTGCCTCTGGCACCGCACTGATCCAGTTGCCTTCTGGGCATTTCAGAGGCTGGCAGAGGTGTTCCAGTATCTTTGTCCCACCTCTTCCTGGTGCAGATGTCGGGGAAGTCCTTCTGAGTGTCTCTCCACTGGTTCCTCCTGCTGTGGCTGTTACCTAGATCTTGCCCTGCTTGGTCCATCCCTTTGGCTGTAAGCCCTTAGGGTCCTCTTCTCGGTTCAGCTCACCTCCTCTCTCCTTCCTTGGGCTGGGGACTATCCATGAGTGTCCAAACCACCTAAGCTGAAGGAGCCCTTAGAGACAGTCCAGGATACAGATGGGAATGCGGGTCTGGCTAAGGGTAGGTCTGTATATAAGACTCTGTAGAGTAGGGATCCAGAACCCAGGATTCCTATCTCCCAGAAGCCTCTTGGTAGGCTGCAGGCCCCCTTTCCCAGGTTCCAGAGCCAGGAATCCAGGCAGGACACCTGCCCGGAACTGTGTAGGAGGTTGGATGGGCTCCTGATACCACTATCCTTTCTCCAGCCTCAGCTCAGCATGGGAGACCGATCTCCTCTTGGGTGGCCCCTGGCATGCTCAGGCTCTCCCCCCTCTTGGCAAATCTGGGGCTTGTTCTGGTGCTCCGGAAGGGCCCCGGGCAGGGCTCTGTGACCAGCCCGGGAGGCGCTGCAGAAGCGCCCGCAGGTGCCAGGTCCTCGGAGTGCAGGCCCTCGGGGGCCCAGGCAGTGCCCGACGGGCGAGGCGACCTAGTGCCCTGCGCACGGGGCGCTGCAGCAGGCCATACAGGAAGGGGTGAGCCGCGAAGGCCGAGTAGGCCACCCAGGTGACGGGCGCCTCGGCCACTGCAGCCTGCGCGGCGGGCGCCAGGCACGCACAGCCGTAAGGCAGCCAGCAGGCTGCAAACTGGCCCACGGCCAGCGCCGGGGCCAGGGCGGCTTTGCCCCCAGGCAGGCGAGGCCGGAGCGGCGGCAGGATGGAGAGGCGGCTATCCAGAGAGTCGGATCGCGGCCGGGAGAAGCGCGCGGGTCGCGGGGGCCGCAGGGCCGCGCGGCGCGCCACGAGGAAGATGCCACTGTAGGCGCCGAGCAGCAGGAGGGCGGGCAGCGCGAAGGCCAGCAGCGCCCAGAGCGGCCTGAAGGGCGCGAGGCCGCCCGCTAGGACAGAGCAGCGCGCGGGGGCCGGGGGCGGCGCGGGCGGCGGCCCGAGCAGGGAGAGCGCGCCCAGCAGCCCCGCGGCGGCCCACACAGCGGTGAGCACCAGGCCGGGCGGAGGCCGCGCGCCGGGCCGCAGCGGGTGCACTATGAGGCGGTAGCGCGCCAGGCCCAGCGCCGCCACCCCGAGCGTGCAGGCGGGCAGCAGCGCCGCCGAGAGGAAGCGCGCCGCGCGGCACGGTGCGGGGCCCAGGCGCACGCGGCCCAGCCCGGGCGGCGGCGCGGCCAGCAGGCCCAGCGGCATGATGGAGGCGGCCGCCAGCAGGTCCACGACGCACAGGTGCACCAGGTAGAGCGCGTCGCGCAGTCCCGGCGTGCGCAGCACCACGACCAGCAACGCGCCGTTGCCCAGCAGGGCTGCTGCCTCCACGACGGCCGCCAGGATCAACCCCACTGAGCCTGCGACTTCTGAGGTGTTCAGCCCTGTGGTGTTTGCCATTCGAGCGCTCAGGCTTCACCCGGTGCTGGGCTGCAGAGAGAGAAACGGAGCATCCGCCCTCCCCCCTTCCCATCACCTGTCCCTTGCTTCTCTGGCCCTTCGCCTCGGAGGCAGCCGCCGCGCTGGCTCCGTTGCCCAGGCTGCCATCCTCTCACAGGGGCTTGGCTGGCCCCATGGAGAGGTGCAAGGCTGGGACTTCAGCTCTCTCCTCTGTCCCGGCAACTCAGCTTCTGCTGGAGATGGTACTGGCTGACACTCTGCTGTTGCCCTTTAGAGACACACAGAGCTGGCAAGGGAGGGGCAGGGCCTGGCACCAGCCCCCTGGGTCCTAGCAGCTGCCAGCTGCTGGTGGGAGGCTGTGCTGTGGAAGTGCTTCGGGTGCCTCTGGAGGGGGCCCCAGAGCAGGCACAGGCTGGAGTCTAGTCTGAGGACATCAGAATGTGGGCTTTAGAGTCTGCCCCACCCTGCTCTGTCTTTCCCTGGGGTGGGAAGTAGCCCTCCACATGCTCTCCCCTCTCATCTCCATCAGTGGGAGTAATCAGATTATTCAGCCTTTGTCCTGAGGGGAAACTGAGGTACCAGCGAGACAAGTGCTGAAGCAGGGAGGGCTCCAGGAGGGCTAGTTGTCTCAGAGAGGAAACTAGGTAAGGTGAGGGGAAAAAAAATCATAGGCCTTGGTGCATAGTAGGCTCCCAACCCGGATTAGCTTGCCACAGAATAGGTGCTTCATGATACCGTGTAGAGTTAATGAAAGTAGGCTTTGGGGAAACAGCTGTTTTCTATTTTGTTAAAGATTTTATTGATTTATTTGCGAGAGAGCTAGAACACAAGTGGGGGGCGGGGGCAGTGAGGGGCAGAGGCAGAGGGAGAAGCAGATTCCCCGCTGAGCAGCGAGCCTGTCGTGGGGTTCCATCCCAGGACCCCGGGATCATGGCCAGGGTCCTGGGATAGACAGACGTTTAACTGACTGAACCACCCAGGCAGCCCACAGTTTTTGTTTTAATTGATGTATGGTTGACATACAATATTACAGATAACTTTGGGTGTACAACATAGTGATTCGACAATTCTATACATTACAAAATGCCCACCATGCTACGTGTAGTTAACCATCTCAAACTGCTGTTTTTTTTTTTTAATGTCTTGCTGAGTACTTTTTATCTATCTATCTACCTATCTATCTATCTAAAGTGGGCTCTATAACCAACATGGGGCTTGAACCCATAATCCCGAGGACAAGAATCACATGCTCTACCTACTGAACCAGTCAGGTGCCCCTTGACTGCTGTGTTTTGTTTGGTATTCCTTTTGCTGTTAGCAAACCAGTCCCCTTCTGCTAGGAGCACCCTGAGTTTTCTTTAGGAAACCACCCACCCCAACGCTCAGAGCTTATGATTTGGGTGGGCAAGATCCCTACCCTCCGTTCTCCTGATAAGGCACAGAAGCCAGTCCTGGGCAGTCCGTGTACGACATCCTACACAGCCAATGTGTTGGCTCAGGGAAAGCCATGTGACTCCAATGGGGCATATGCTCGGTGAAGTCACCCAGTCTCTTGTCAACACCCCACCTATACCCTGATGGCTTGGCTTGTATCTGAAGCTCCTTTCTCTCCCCAGGCCTTCCATCGTCTCCCTTAGTACTTTGACTATTGGGCCCCGTAAATGTCCCATGTCCAAAACAGAACCATGACTCTTGAGCCCTCCCCAACATGCTCCTGGCGGTCTCCCCCAGCTCAGCAAACTCCATCTCAGAAGTTTTCACGGATGCCTCCCTTCCCCCAGGCCCCACACCCAATCCATCAGTATCTGTGAATCCGGTCACGTCGCTCTACCACGATTCCCATGGTCCCAGCCACCAGCACCTCACACTGACCCACTTCAGCATCCTCCCAACTGGTCTCCTGGCCTCTGCTTCTGCACCTTGTTCTGATCATTTGCCTGTTTGTCCCCAGACCCTTCCCCAGTCTTCCCCAGTGCTCCGCCTTCCAGGGAACTGTACTTCCCAGGTTCCTTTGCCATTGGTTTTTGGGCATATTCAGCCAATAGAAGTTACCAGCGGAAGACTGGAAGGTGGAAGGAGGGAGGAAGCCAAGGTATTCTCCCTCTCATGCTCAGCCTGGGGCTCTGGGTCTACCTCTGCGGAGGACAGCCTCTCTTTCCTTCAGGCAGCCCCCTCTGTGGCTAGGGGTCTGCAGGGAGACCCAGGCCTCTGCACAGTGGAATACCATTGCCTTCCGTTATCCTTCCAGCCCAAGGGTGGTAGCAGCTAATCTTTGCTAATCTTTGGCTCATCCCACCATCCCCTTTGATAGCTCAGTTTCTCTCCTCGATCAGATTCCCCTTGTCTGGAATCCCGAGGGTGATTTCAGCTTTGCTGTCCAGATTTTAAAAAATATATATATTTTATTTAAATTCAGTTAATTAACATATGGTGTGTTATTAACTTCAGAGGTAGAGTTCAACGATTCATCATTTGCATGTAACACCCAGTGCTCATTACATCACGTGCCCTCCTCCATGCCCATCAACCAGCTACCCCATCCCCCACCCACCTCCCCACTGACTGGATCTTGACTGACACACCCTCCAGTCCACTCTCCACAGAGTAGCTAAAGTGGTTCCCTCTAAAAACAAATCCGATCATGTCATGACCCTGCTGTCATCTTTCTAAGAACTTCCCGTCATCAGATTAGACTCTCAGCTCCTCGGTGCTCAGGTGGCCTTCTTTCCACCCCTCTGACCTCACAGTCCTTGCTGACCATACTTCCAAGCCATAGCAGTCATCTTGCTGGTTCTCCAGTAGATCAAACTGGTTTCCCCTTCAGGATCTTCCCATGTGTGCTGTTTCCTCTGTCAGAACACGCTTCCCTCAGATCTGTCCGGGACTTGTTGGTCCCTCACCTAATTCAGGGTGCTGCTTGAGAGAGGAGGCCATTGGGGACCATCTTTCCTAAAATGCCCCCACCTTCCCATCACTAATTCTTTACCTTGCTTTCTTTTTCTTCGGGGCACTTTCCCCACTCAGTGAATTTCTGCTCTCTGCACATGCTTGTTTAGAGCCTGCTGTCCCTGCCTGTAGGTGCCCGAGAGCCGGGATTTTGTCTTTGGGCCCCTAGAACCCACCCTGGGCACACTATCAGCATTGTACAGAGCTAGATGGTAGCCACCAGGGCATGGGCCTCCAGATTTGACTCATTTCCTGCTGGAATTTGAAGGGCCTGGTCCAATTCTCCATTATTCAGATGAGAAGGCTGGTGCCCAGAGAGGTAAGGAATGTGTCCCAGATCACACAGCTGAGTTGTACCTGGAACCCAGGTCACTTGCTTCCTGGGCTCTGTCTACACAGGCACCATTTCTGTGCTTGGCCACAACTTAAACGTGGGCTTTCGTCTCTAGGAGGTGAAGCTGGATTTTTGAGGTCTTAGTTCAGAATAAGGGGAAATCCAATGCCTTCCCATTTTCCTCTTCTCTCTGCCCAGCTGGGCTTGCAGGCCTGGGACAGTGCCTGAGCACCCGGGGCCTGGGGAGGGCTCAGCAGGACCAAGTGGGAATAGCAAATGAGAAGAATGGACTGGGGGAAGGCGATAGGGAGGGATGGAGACTATGGTGGGGTGGAGAGTTCACGCTCCCTTTGAAGTATTCCAACTAAGTTAAAAACGGGGGGATAATAGGACACTTTGTAGCTTTTGTTTTTTGGCTTTTTGCTTTTGTTTTGTTTTGGTGTTTTGTTGTTGTCATCATCGTTGTTGTTTTGTTCTAATTTGCACAAAGAAATGTGGGAAGGATTAAAAAAAAAAAAAAGAAATGTGGGAAGGATAAACCGGAAACTGCAGCAGGTGGGTGGAAATGGAGTGAAAGGCTAGAGAAGGACACTCTTGTGAGCACACGTTTCTGTCCGAAAGATTAGACTTTCTGGAACTATGTCAATGTTCTATGTATTGAAAAAAACCCATCAAATAAGACAAGGAAAACCCCCTAAGAGTTAATTATAAACAGAAACAAATGAACCTCCCTATACTTCAAGTGTAGAACAACCATACTGAAGAGAAATAAATGGCCCATCCAAGTAACATTTGAACTTGTGCCCAAACTGCGCCGTTGACCATTGACCTTCAGCTTAAAAGATAAGTCTTAAGAAAGATTCAGTACATCATGAGCTCAGCTTATAAACTTCGGTTTTCACAATGGTATGGATGTAGCAATTCTGAAACTCCTTTGTGTGTGGGATTAAGCAGTAAGTAAATATAATTAAGGTTGATGGAAACCAAGGTTGTTCCTGTGACAGAAAGGAGGCATTTTAAGTATACATTTGGGGGAGAATGGAAGAACTCTGTGTTGCACTGGAATTGGAGAAATAGACATGGATAGATGTGTTCCCTTATTTACATATACGTATTTCCTAGCTCTCTTTGCTACAAGGCCTTGAAAGCAATGACACCGCAGTACCAAGGAACGTACCTACTGCCCAAATCTTGGATGTTAAATACCATTTCCTGCTCTAGGGAACCAGGGCTCCTTGGAGAAATGGCTGATTTCAGGTTTGCACGAGATGAGCCTGGAACATTTTGTGATGCCAGAAAGGAAGGAAGTGCTCAAAAAATGATGTAGATCTGAGAGCGCGAAAAACCTTCTGCTGGCAAAATCTGGGACATTTTGAAGATCAGAATAATTACAGTAATGGATTATAACCCATTGCATAAGAATCCACAAGTCCATACGGGTAATGAAGAAAGGGGATAGTGATTAATGAATATAAAAGAGATGAGGGAGTTAGGTAACTACTGTTTGCAACCATCTTAGCAAAAATTGATTTAAGTCGTCTATTTCAGTTAAAAATCATCGATGGATATTAAAGCCAATGGGTGAAAATCCAGGAAGGACGGGGCGCTTACATCTCAAAATATTTTCCCGCAGTTTACAGATTCATTGCAAACAGGAAAAACGGTTGACTTTCAGGTGGAGACAGCTGGTGGATGCCACGAGAGATCGAAATTAACACCACCGAGAATGGGACTTGTCCCCGTGGGTATAATGCCCCAAAGACACATCACGTAGGTCACATTCCTGCCCAAAAAGCAATGCGCGAAACTGACCATGACCAAACACCAGACAAACCCAAATCTTGAGATATTCTGTACAACTAGTCTGTCCCCTCTCGTATCAAGAACCTCAAAGTTATGAAGGGAAAAGGGCCGAGAATGGTTTTAGACTGAAGGAGACACAAGAGGCA